ATAATAGGGCTTCCTCTGTTACCTGCTTACTTAGTTTCCTTTTTTTTTTTTTCCCTTCCTTTGAAGCATTAATTTCTGCATATAAAATTAAACTCGTACCATTTCTGGCATATTTGGAGTTCTCAGTTTGCTTCTCTTTTCTGCTGTGAATCCTGTTTTTAAATCCTTGACTATGCCTATCGTAAATTCTTTGCCTGTACTTCAGTGCCAGTGTTTGTTTATTTAACTGCTGATCTTCTTTTATGCCGGTAGAGTGTGTGTGTGTGGTGCTTGACTACATCAAATATGTTGAATAGATATTTCGTAGTGTAAGCTGAACCCTCTCCTCTCTTAAGCTTCTGCGAGATAGTGAGTTAATTGCTACCTCAAAATTTGGATATATCTAGTTTGCTCATTGTTGTAGATAATTGTTTCGTATTTTTAGCCGTGTTTATACTTAAAAAAATTGTAAGCTTAACCTATTTTGTTATACTTTTACAGTCTCTTTTTGTTCATATACCTGCTCGACACCCATCTTCATTTCCTGAGCTGGAGTTGCCGACCCTTCTGCAGGTATCCAATATCCATTGTGCTCTCATTTTTTCCCTTTAAATATCTCCATGTCATTCAAGATATTGTAAACCAGGTACAGGTATTTGTCAAGCTTTGCCTTCTTGTGGCGCATCCTTGTTTTGCATTGCTTTTCCTTTCTCCAATGTTATAAGTTGATGTCATTATCAAATATTCCCTTTTTCAGCTTTTTAGTTGGTGTTACACGATGAAATTTGATCCTTTACATATTAGATTGCTGATTTGCAGAATTATTTGGTCTTCCCCTGAATATAAATTTTCTAACACTACACATTCTTTTGTTTGTTAATAATCAGTCAGCAGCTTTGATGTCAGTTGGTCTTCTTTATGAAGGATCCGCACACCCGCAAACCATGCAGATTCTCTTGGTATGTTTCTTTTGTGTGTTCCTCTGATAATATTATTTTTGCATTGGTACAATTCTATTTGATTATGTGTGCAAAAGCATCAAGAATGTTGCTTTATGTCAAAATGATGAACTTTCTGATGAGTGATGATTATGTTTGATTGTTAAAGAAGAGTATGAGCTCATTTTGAAGCATTTGGCGTGGATTCTAAAGTGTTCCCCAAGACAGCTACTTTGATGTTACAAGGTGCCTTGTATGTAATTCACATTTCTGTAATTAATTTTGCAGGGTGAAATAGGACGTAGAAGTGGAGGTGATAACGTACTCGAAAGGGAAGGTTATGCTGTTTCTGCAGGATTTTCATTGGGTCTTGTTGCATTGGGTATGAGCTGTTTGATACTCTTACACACTGAATATTGTGAAAGGTTGGTCCTCACTATCTTTGTTATCTCAAATGTAGGTAGAGGCTATGATGCACTTGGTTTAATGGATGCAATGGTTGACCGATTGTTTCATTACATTGGTGGCAAAGAAGTTCATAATGTATGCTTCCGGATTTAATTCTTTTCGTGAATAGCATTTTAATTCTTGTAGGAATTAGCTTGCTACAAGTTCAGTTTGATTCATTTATATGTTCAAAATGCTCAGAAGTATCTAATTTATTTTGTTTTATGGTTGTACCAGCTTTAATGTTCTTGCTTTATTATATCATTTTCGTTTTGGTTTACTCTTCGTTAGGAAAGATATTTTTCCTCAGCACTTTCAGCGGATGATCATTGCCGTGTCGCTGCACAGGTGTCATTTGCATGCCCTTGCTTTCTCTTGGTTGATCTCTCTACAATAGTTATCTAGGATTTTTTCCGCTTCCCTTGCAGCTGATACGGACTAATATTTGCCTGTGCGGTATTCTCTTGTAGATGATGGATGGAAATGCAGTTAACGTTGATGTCACTGCCCCAGGAGCGATTATTGCTCTTGCTTTAATGTTTTTGAAGGTAACATCTTTAATCAATAAGTTATTTTGCACCATGTTTATCTATCTCCTTTTATAAGGGCAAAATCCTAATCAAGTTGAAACTTTTCGTGAATTTCTCACTTGGCATAATGTTTATAACAGACTGAATCGCAAACAATTGTGTCTAAACTGTCTATCCCTCATACACATTTCGACTTGCAATGTGTAAGGCCCGACTTTATCATGCTTCGTGTCATTGCTCGGAATTTGATAATGTGGAGCAGGTAGTGCTGGTTCTTTCAGTAAGCTTAATTGTTGAACTACATCTGTGTGTTTTTAATCTAATGTCCTTAGCTATATTTCTGTAGGGTACATCCCTCCCAAGATTGGATTCAATCTCAGATTCCGGCTATTGTCAAAAATGGCGTCCAACGGCTTGGGGATGATACTAGTGATATTGATGAAATGGACGCTGAAGTATTTGTGCAGGCATATGTCAATATAGTGGCTGGAGCTTGTATTTCTCTTGGTAGGATACATTTTCATATGTTCTATAAGAAATACATTTTTTTTTTTATATTGTTGTGGTACATTGCTCCAACAAAGTCTGGGATTCGAACCACCTCATGGGCACCTACATGACAAAAGTCATAGTTTCCTGCCTTCCTAAGATTGTAGGGTTTGGCTGAAGCTCCACTTTCAAACTCGAGCTCACAAAGTGGGTTTGGGGATTTTTAGATATTAAAAAAAAAATGTTGTGGTACATAACGATTGTTTTCCAATAGTCATGTCTCACTTGGAGGCATCTTGATGACTTTGTAAGATGGGAGTTTGTTTGGAGTTGCTTGGTGCGTTCTATAAAGAATCAGGACAAACATTTGAACTTAAGAAACCTAAAACTGCACAAAAGTATTTTTGAAATGCTATTACAATTTTCTTTCTGGGACATATGGCCTTTTCAACTTCATCATCTTATCATGGCAGGACTGAGATTTGCTGGTACAAAGGACGGGAATGCACAGGAGTTACTGTATAAATATGCTCTCTGTTTTCTGAACGAGGTTTGATATTCAGGATGGCGGTTTCCTACTTATATTTGCACTTGTATTAGAGGTAAATAATTTAACTTATTGTTGTTTGCAGATAAAACCAGTTTCTGCTATAAGCGGCACCTTCCCTAGGGGTTTGTCCCACTATGTTGATCGGGGCACATTGGAAATTTGCCTTCACCTCATTGTTCTTTCCCTTTCAGTGGTATGTGGACAAGTAATTTCTTGATTTTTTTTTCCCCCCACAATTCATGAATGTGGCTAAACCATCTGGTGTCATCTTCATTAACATCAGGTTATGGCTGGTTCTGGTCATTTACAAACATTTAGGCTACTGAGATTTCTTCGAAGCAGAAACTCTGTCGATGGGCATGCTAATTATGGAGTTCAGATGGCAGTAAGTTTTTCATTAATTATAAGAAGATGCTGTAGCTTCTATTTCTTGATGCTTTTATGTTATATCTTATGGTATCATAAAATAAAGGGGCTTGCTTACTGGTTTTCCTTGTTCTCTTTTAATATGAAAGAAGTTGCTAAAGGTACACCTTATGGTCGTCTAATAATAAACCAAGAAATGTAACCAATTTTTTAAGGTACTGACTTAATGTTTGTTTCTTAGATCAAGTTATAAGCGTAACATGTAATGTTTGCTTCCTACATTAAGTTAAGGGGTAAGGTGGTCTGAAAAAGCTAGTAGAAACTCCACCCACCCACCGATCCATCCACACACACACACACACACGAAAAAAAAAGAGAGGTCTTTTAAAGATGACAATGGGCTCTTACAAATGGCTCTTTTCTTTGTTTTTGTGTTCTCTCTCACTTGTTCTCTCTTTATATCTGAGTTTTTCATACATTTGCAAGCGGTGGTGATTCTAGGTAAGCTTAGCAATTGGGTTCTTGTTTCTTGGGGGAGGAATGCGGACATTCTCAACAGGAAATTGTTCTATTGCTGCATTGCTGATTACTCTGTACCCACGCTTGCCTACAGGACCAAATGATAACCGATGCCACCTTCAGGTATTTTTACAATGATAACATGTCTACTGTAGATGTAATAAAAATCTTGAAGTTGCAAATAGCTCGGGAAAATATGACTTTGATATGCTATACATTTTTTTATTTTGAAAATTCTCCTTTTGTATGTTTACAGACTAATTAGAGAGTTGATGATGCAATGCATTTTGATTCTTCCTGAAAATATTGTCTTATGGACTTTCATTGTGAATACCCATAATGCTTTTCAACAAAAATAAAAGAAATTCCAAAAGATTAATCTGATGCAGATGCTAATTTAATATAAATGAGTCCCGTAAATGGAAAAGGCTGAAACAGCACCTTCTTTCACTAATATGATTGTTTATTCTTCTTTTTGAATCTTGATGTATGTAAAGGATGTATACTTTCCAGGCATTCCGGCATTTATATGTACTTGCAACTGAGGCTCGCTGGATTCAGACCGTTGACGTGGACACTGGTTTACCTGTGTATGCCCCTCTTGAAGTCACTATTAGAGAAACTGACCATTATGCTGAAACAAGCTTTTGTGAAGTTACCCCTTGCCTTCTGCCAGAACGAGCTGTGGTAAGTTTCAAAGTCCCATGAATTTACCCTGGTAAAAAGCATCAATAGCTCATCTTATTATTATTTTCCTCTCTCTGGATTGGTTGAACCCGGGACGTACTCTGGGAAAATCTGTTGCTGGTAACTTACTAGAATTTGAGCTTTGCTAATGATGAGTTGCTTCATATGTTGCTGCTTGCAGTTGAAGATGGTTCGTGTCTGTGGCCCTAGGTACTGGCCTCAAGTAATAGAATTTGTTCCTGAAGGTAGAAAATGCCTCAATTTTTATCTATTATTTTGTTTATCATGGCGTTTCAGATAACTCAAAATTGTATTCTTCGAAGAAAAAGATTCTCCCCATTGATTCTTAACTTCTAGATGTTCCTCTCTATTGTTATTGAACAGATAAACCTTGGTGGACATTTGGGGACAAGAGTAACCCATTCAGTTCTGGCATTCTCTATATCAAGCGGAAAGTTGGAGCTTGCTCATATGTCGATGATCCCATAGGATGCCAGTCACTGTTGTCACGAGCAATGCACAAGGTTAAATTACTTACCAATTGACAGGTCCCTTGATCTCCGACAGGCGGCAGATATGTACTCATACTAAACTGTTCTTGATCTAGGTATTTGGTTTGACTAGTTTAAAAGCATATAATCTTTGCGATGAGGGCTACAGTGGACCTGGTTCTATTACAGTTGATCAGCTGGTTGCTACCTTCTCGTCTGATCCTAGCTTAATTGCTTTTGCTCAACTCTGCTGCGATCCTTCTTGGAATAGCAGGCAAGTGGTCTCTTTCACTTCTTTTCTCAAAATGCATACATTGATTACTTGGAAATTAAAATTAATATTCAAACCAAACTCATTTGCGGATTAAGAGAGAGAAGAATACTACTTTGGTTTCTCTATGCAAGTTGTAATATTAAGTGACAACAATATGTGCAGAACCGATGTCGATTTCCAGGAGTTTTGCTTGCAAGTATTATTCGAGTGTGTAAGCAAGGACAGGCCTGCTCTCTTACAGGTAATAGATAATATTGCAAAGATGAACTCGTATTTTCATGGTTATAATTTTGACATTATCTTAATGCATTAAGTTGCCTCTGATATGGAAGCACAAAGAAGGTGCCATCTTGAGGTGTAGAGACACCTGTATTTATTCTGATGGAGTTTTTATCATAATGAGTTTGAAAATTTATTTTATTCTTTCCATTGGCTTTCCTTCTTTATTTGACTCGTGTAGTCGAATCAGTATTCTTTTGTGAATCCTCTGCAGGTATATTTGTCATTGTACACAACAATTGGGACAATGGCGGATCAATTTACCAGTGGTAGAGTTGTTCTAGGGGACTCCCTTTCTATTTCCAATTTAAAGGTAGTTCTGTAGTCATTACACTTCGTTCTACTATTGAACTACTAAGTTCGACTTTGGCACACCATTTTTTTCATTAGAATGGTTGAATGTTTCAAAAACACTAGTTATGGGTGCTAAAGGATTGATTCTGAATCACAGAGCTCCTAGGGGCAGAAATTTTGGCCAATTCAGCCGCTACATTAATTACTTTGTTACTTGACTTAAGATCTGCACATTGATGAAATTTGAAAATTATTTACGTCTTGGCTACTGAATGCAGATTTTTCTCCGGCACAATTTTGTAATACAACAAATTTAATTACAGTTAAGGTGAAAACTGATTTCAAATGCGGAGATAGTTCAAACGGTGTAGTTTTCAAAATAGGTGTTGGGTATTGGCATGGTCTCGACGTTATCAGTTAGTGACTTGAGTTGAACAAAGACTTTTGAACTGACCTTTTGGATAATCCCCGAGTTAGGCAGTAGTTCATTTTTCGTTTTATTAAGAACATGCTTGCTACTGAATACTGATTATAATGGGAATTGCGTGATATTTTGAATAATCAGGTGACCTTATTTATGGGATAGATACATAGTCGTACATTTTTTTTTCAAACCAGTTTCCTGTTATTAATTTTTATTCCTTTCGATCTTCCATCCATTTTTGGATTATTCCATTACCTTCACAGATGGATGATACTTTTTCATAACCCCATTTTCTACTCGCAGCTTGCAGTAGCCTACAATGAAGCTCTGCTGGGGGGAAAATTGACCAATTCTAGAGGTGGCATTATTCAATCCAATTTTCTAGGATCTCTCAAGAAACGAGTGGACGAACTGCTGAACTGTTGCGAGGGATTAAAGGACAATTTTCATAACTATATGATATCAGGGACATGGCCCGCTGCGGAATTCCAGGGAGGGAGAAATTCAATTCTTCTTTCTTGGTACCTTCAGTGGTTTGGTGTACCAGCTCCATCTGTTATTAAGACAGCTGCGGAGAAAATCAGGCCGAAGCTAAAGTCGTCATCCTTCGTTCCAGTTTTGCATCTGTTGTTTCCAAGCACAGACATCAATGTGATTGGTGAGATAAACAAGTTCTTGTCTTCCAACGACAGCAAATAAGATTTTGATGGATGACGCAACAGTCAAATTGTTGCTGCAATAATTGTGTTTAGCGTAAGATCTTATATATGGTCTTTGAATATGGAGAGGAAGAACAAAAAGTCGGTCATCAGTGTACCAAATTATCGCGATAGTTTTGCTTTCATTTGGTTGAGCTTATAACTATCAACCTCTGAAGTTGGTACGGCTTCCAAATTCATGCTGTATAATATGCGGGGCCCGTTTGACAGAATTTTTGCTTTCACTTTTAGTCAGTAGAGGAAGAGAAGTAAAAGTTGCCGTTTTTTCGGGTTTGGAATAAAAGAGCTTAATGGGTCAAAATAATTTTTAAATTTTCTAATAAGCAACAAAAGTGTTGGAATGAGGTTTACAGTGTCTTAATAAAACTCTAGTATAAGTTTTAAAGTCTATTCAGGTGTGTTTTTTTTAGAAGTTACATTTTCTGGCGTTGACCGTAAGCTCTTTTGAAAAGTTAAAAGTACTTTTGACAAGTTATTTAAACACCTAACTTTTGAAGTTAGGAAGCTAAAAACAGCTTTTAGAAAGCTTTTTCAAACAGGCCCGTAGGATATGCGTGTACCACGGTAAGATCATAATTCTGCATCTAGTGTTTATATTGGAAATTATTATTTGTTTAATTATGAAAGAAATTTGTATCTTTGGTTGCTTGCCTGAACCATAATCAGTAGCCATTATGAGTTGGTAACAGGAGCGCATTGAAGAGGAAAATTTTCGAATTGTAGAAGTGGATAAACATAATTATATTATTTTATATGAGTGGTTTGGTGTTCCAGCTCCATCTGTTATTAAGACGCTGCGGAGAAAGAATCAGGCCGAAGCTGAAGTCGTCATCTTTCGTTCCATGAGACCCGGATGGATGGCGCAGCAGTCAAATTGTCGCGGCAATAATTGTGTTTACCGTAAGATATTATCTTTAGTCGTTGATTATTTATCCAGTGAGCTGTAGAGAGGAAGAACAAGAAGTCGGCCATCAGTGTACCAAATTGTCACCATTGTTTTTCTTTCATTTGGTTGAGCTTTAAACATCAATCCCTGAAGGTGGTATGGTTGCCAAATTCATGCTGTATAATACGTAGGATATGTGTACGTACAATGGCAGGATCATAATTTTCCATCTTTATTTATATTTGAAATTATTATTTGTTTAATTATGAAAGATATTTGTGCATTTGGTCGGTTGTCTGATCCATAATCAGAAGCCAACATAAAAATTGGTAACAATGGTCGGCGTTTTAAAGAGGAGAATCTTTTTTTCGAATTGTGGTAGTGGATAAACACAGAATTATGTTATATATGTATATACGTATGCATGTATGCATGCGAAGAAGAAGAAGAAATGGGAGTCCTGTTTCTCCCTTAGGCTAACAAGATGATTGGACGAAACACTTTTCTCGTACTAAAGTAACTATTGAGCAAATGCGAAATTCATTTCCTTTCATAGGTGAAGAAACATAAATGCAGATAGAGATCAGAATTCTTGTCGTTATTCATTAGGGGAATTACATACAATTTTCATTTGCTTTATTATTTGTTAAAAGGTACAATTCAAGTAAACCGTAGGAAAGTTGCCCATCTTTTGGCCTATGCAGATTTTGCCCACTTGGCAACAAAAAATTATGGCGTTCTTAGCTCCCACCCCATCCAAATTGGCTTAACAAAGAACCAAAAAATCGGACCAACCCCATCCCTAATATCCCATTGATCCCCAGCCTATAAAAAACTAAACAGAAAATTTTAAGAAAATTACATTAGGTGAGGTGGAAGGCAAAATGAACTCGAAAGAAAAGTGAAAATTCAAAGGCCAACAAAAAAAAAAAAAAAGTCACAAGTAGTGACACCGTGGCATCTTTGAATCCGCCAAGTGTCAAGAGTGTGAGATAATACGTGTGTAGAGGAACTCGTTCCACGTGTCGGGCAACCCGGGGAGGCACCAATGTATGCAATCTGCATACGTGGCAGGGTCAGCCTGCTGCTCGGGAGTCAACATCTTGCCTTGGCGGATGGTGTAGACCGATGTGTGCGCATCCTTGCGGTACTCGGACAAGGCTGTGATGTTGAGGAAGTGGACTGGCACTTTGAGCGACTGAGTTATGTTGTGTGAGATCACAAACAGCCTACGGTCCGTGCCAACCTCCAATGGGGTGGTCATGTTCGTAACCGGCATGGTCTCTTTGGCACACTTTATGCCATCCGGGTTGTTCCAATCCAAGCTCCTATTGAAAATATATAACAAAAAAAAAAAAAAAGGTTTCATTGTGAAAATACATCACGTCAAGTACATACATAATCATTGTCATTAGTGGAATATTTTGGTGGTTTTACCAACTTAAGACCAAGGGTGGATAATGGTGTGTTAGAGGGTTAATGGGCCCATTACAACCTCCAAGGTTAGGAAACTTCTCACCTAATTCTTTTTCTATTAGGGGTAGTTCACAAGTGGTTAGATTATGTAACCACTAATGAGTAAATTTAAAAAAAAAAAAAGAAAAAAAAAAGAAAAAAAAAAAAAGAGATAAGGATGTAGGGGATTTGAGAATTACTTGATATGAAGAGGGGACATGCTGCTGAAGAAGACAGTGGTACGATTGGGGTCTACATTTTGGTTCGCCCAATTAGCCCACGTACTCAAAACTCTTTGATATGCTACTGGCCGTTCGATCTCATCATACTCCGTGGCACCTTCATCGAACGATCCTCGCCTTTTTCAATTAATCCAAAAAATAAAAAATAAAAAATAAAAACCGGATCAATCTCATGGTTTTACAGGTAAATGGACAGAAACAAGAGAATTAAAGGAATTAATAACACACACACACACACAAAATGTACTTACAAGATTTTCATGGTGAAAGTGTTCATCCACCAAATATATGTGTTGAAGACAAGGTAGTCCACATCCTTCCAATTAACACCATGCTTGTTGATAGATTCAGGCATGATTATGCGATTCAATATGCTGTGCATATTTGGATCGTCTGAATTTGACTCTACCAAGAATGGAGCCCAGTAAAACTCCACAGTAGCGTTATAGTCCTAGTAGATCCGCAAAAGCCATAGAAAGATACAAGAAATAATTCAGTAACCGATTCTCAAAGCAAAGGTCGCATCTTTTGCGGCAATCTAACTGCTCATAAAGTATGCTGTCCCATGCCGTGGCAATAATCATACCTTTATAACAATGCTATAGCCTATATTGCTAACCACAATAAATAAATAAAACAAAACAATAATAAAAGGAAAAAAAAAAAAACAAAAAGAAATAAAGAGAGAAATTTCTTTTGGAGTTTCTTAAGAATCCCAATGACAAGGAAATTGTCGGTATACTAGCCATAAAACGACAATTTTTTAATTTTTAGTTTTTTAAAAAGCATTAGAATCCTCGTTGGTGGTGTCACAAGATTGGTAATTGATATAATTAATTAATAAATTAATAATCATCTTTATTTTTCTTTTTAATTCTCTACTATTAAAAATGTGGTAATGGGAACTACTTTTAAAACCGTGGCAACATGCTTAATTAGCTGACTTTTCGTGCATCATACAAAAAGACATAGTTCATTAATCAAATTGCTTAAATTGTAACGTTATTGTTAATGATTCTTCACGATGAAAATAGTGTTAAGTGCTCTCATTCCAAATAGTTAACATTTTAATTACTCAAAAGCTATATAATTATGTACCTGTGTCTCATCCTTAATGATTAATCATCATGTAAAAGATCCAAAAAGATATAGAAAGTATTCCACAACATGATGGAGAGAGAAAATTCAACAAAAGCAAGAAAAGAAAAGACGTTTAAACTATAAAGTATATAATGAAAGTACCTCAATTCTGAAAATGTTGAGAGAGCCAGACTTGTTCAAGCTCTTCCTTCCCGGAGGGATCACAGATTGAGCCATGCAAACCATGGATTCCCACTGGTTTCTATTCAACGAATCCCCAACAAACATAAGCCTCTTGTTCCTCAGTTTCTCAAGCAACAATCTTGCTTTATACCTTTAATCAAAAAATAAAAAATAAAAAAATAAAAAAATTAAACCCAATTAAGAAAACCCAAAGAAAGAAAGAAAGAAAGAAAAAGATAAAATAACAAAAGATTTCAGTTTTACTTTGGCAAAGAGCAATCTTTAGGCTGCCATTTCCAATTCTGGTACATGGAATCTTTCCTTCCATTTCTCATGCAAGTCACTTGTGCTGTGAGAAACTCGCATTCATCTTCCTTATACAACGGGTGGGTGGCGTTATCAAAAACCCATTCCCCATCAAACAAGTCACACTCTTCCGGAGGCAAAATGACTTCTTCATCTTCGTCGTTTTCCTCGACCGGCAATTCGATCTTCTCTTTCTCCTCTTTAATGGGCAATTCCGAAGTAACCTTATTCTCCTCGGAATCTTCGGCTTTCTTGTCTTCCAAGGAAGTTCCGGTGCTGACCAAAACCTTGGGCTCCTCTTGATCTTCTTGAAGTGGGCTTGTCTGTTTGGTTTCTTGAATTTCTTGGGATTTGGGGCGAGAAAATGGGAACTCGGCGATGGACTTCACGTCCTCGTTGTACATGAAGACCCCAAAGAGGAAGATGGAGAAAACGACGACGAGTATCGAGAGGTTGTTGTTCTTGCGACCCTTCATCGCCCCTGTTTCGGTAGAGAACAGGGGAGACTTTCTGCGTGTTGGCTGCATTATAGAGAGAGAGAGAGAGAGAGAGAGAGAGAGAGAGGATTGGTTAATGGTGTGTAGTGAGAGATGAGAGAAAGAGAGGGAAAATATAGAGAGAAGAAATAAACGACAACGAACAAAATAGAGCAAAAAAAAAAAAAAAGATTTAAGAAAGAGAAGAAGGAAAAAAAGAAAGAAAACTTACTTACAGAAGTTAGGATTAGCGATTAGGTTATTGGGGTTTGTTTAATCTGGCGTTTGGTGAAATGGGTTTGTCTGAAAGAAGACAATTGGGGTTGGAATTTGGTGGAGGGAGAGTTGTCCTTCTCAAGCTGTTTTATTTTTTTTCTCCTCTTTGTTTTTTCGTTTTATATTCCATTGAACTACTTTCTTCTTCTTCATTTTGCGTTTTTTTCAAAGCAAATGAGAGAGAGAGAGAGAGAGAGAGAGAGAGAGAGAGAGAGAGGAGTGATTTGAAAGCTTGAGGAAGTTTGTCATAGTCTATCTCTCTCACAGTTGGATGTGGGTGACAACTGACATGAAGAGGGTGATGGGGCTCTCTATTGCAGACAGTGTGTTATATTGTTATTTTCTTATCACAATTTTTGAGAGAGAAGCTGAAGCTATAAGTAGTTATATCCTAATAAATAAATATATAAGAAGAAGAGCTAAAGGCAGTTACTCAAGGGGAAAAGGAAAAAAAAAAAAAAAAAAAAGGGTCCAATGAGGTCAAAGGGTAACGGTTGGTCAGTGGTCTTCGAGGATTCTGGGAAGAAATCATGAAAGAGGGTCGCCCTACTTTTCATCAAAACGACATGTCGTTTATAAGTTTACTTCCCATAGATTGTTGATGGATTTTGAAGATCATCTCTGACCCAAGGTGATTTTTTTTATTCTTTGACGGTGTGGTACGGATTTCAGTTTTCTCTAACAAAATTTCAGAATTATCAACTTAATCAGCGGACACATTTTCCGGTAGGATCTTCCCATGGGTAAGGCCCATTTTTTTAATGTTAAATTCAAATTAAATTAAGAAAAAATATGGAGAATTTCTAATGCAGATTTAAGAAACTCTCCTTAAACAAATAATAAACATTAGTTCATTGAGAATAATGAAACCTTCAAATTGACAATACTAGAAAACCAAAGTCAAATCAGGCTGGCTAATTGATAATAAGAATATTCTACAGAAATTGTTCATAAGCAAATTAATTAAGTTATCATTTTTAGTCATCAAAATATTGATTAGTGTTTGCTTTGTATATATGTTGCCTGCTGGAACTAATTTCAAATTCTTATTTATTGAGAAATCAGAATAAAAGAGCTTTTTGAATCTCGCTGAAGTCTGAACACATCCTAAATCTAATAAGGTGTTAGGTATGGGGATTCGTGTTATGATTCGAATCATAATTCGTAACTCGCTATAGTATTTTTTCTCATAAAAAACACACGTAAATTGAGAATAGTTCTGAATTATAATTATAAATCCGTAAACCAAACGTAAAATGCACTAGGTTGCATCATAGTTCATTAGTAAAAAGAAACGATACAAAAGATATTTTTTGCATGCGTGCTGCTTTTTTTTTTCCTGCAAACATATTACTATTGAGCAAAAATCAGATTCTTTTTTTCTTAACAACCTTCTAATATAAACCCGACCTGCATGATGTCAGGACCGCTAAAATATGCTCACCTTCGTATAAGCCAAGAAAAAACAAACAATTTGGTCTTCTATTGTTCTTAATTGCATCAGTGAATCACATCATAACATGTCATATATAAAAGTCTTATTAAACAAATTTAAATTACCTATCTAATTTTTAGTGATTTAAATTGTACAAACTAATTATATTATGATATGACATTTAATAAAATAAAATATTAAAGTATGAAATTATAGTTAAAAATATTTTAAATTCTTTAATGTAGTTGGTTAAATATAATTTACGACATCAAAATTGTACATGCATTCAGAGTCCTGCTAAACGAGTGTGAGGGCATAAATATTTATCCAGTGTGATTTAATGTATTGCCCATGTTCTATGCCTAATGTGTCTGATGTGATGTGATGTGAAAGAATGCAACACAGGATCGTCTTTTCTTTCTTCTGTTAATGATACGCTCCGCTTTTATTTATTTTTATAAGTCATATGCTTATAATTTTTGTTGTGTCTACTTGATCACTAAGAGTATGTTTAGTAGGAGGGAGGGAGGAAGAGGGGGGAGAGGGAGAGGGATGGAGGGAGATGTCTAATCTCTTGTTTGGTTAGAAGAAGAGGATAAGTGGAGGGATGTGCTCTCTCTCATAACCCACTAAATTAGATCATTCTATTGATGGAAGGATTCAAGCAATCTATCTAATTTTAACTTTAAAAGACTATTTTACCCTTTGATTAAATTATTAACAAAAAAGTTTCAATGGTTAGTATAGTAATTTAGCAAAGAATTGTCATTTATCATTTCAATTCATTCTACATCCTATCAAACAACATGAAGAATTGCTATAATCTTCTTCATCCTTCCTTCTCTCCATCTATCAAACTCTCCCAATTCTTTTGACCAAACAGAACCTAAAAAGGAGGCTGAGCGAGATTGTCTAGTTTAAGAGTAAAAAACTAAATTTATAAAGTAATAGCCTAAGAAAATAAGAATGATGAAATTTTTTTAAGAGAGGAATTTTTCGAAACAACCTATTCAATTTATTGTGCATATTTCAAATAAATAAGGGAAGAAATAAAGGTCACAAGGGATCAATAATCAATTTCATCTATATAACAGAAAAATAATACTAATAAAAAAGAGGCACTTAATTTCGTTTGCTTCTTTTCCGGTTAATAACTTTTAGGGCTCTAACTGATCTTGTAGGTTCTAACAACTAACATGATCCTATACCTAATCAGTAATTTTATACAAATTTATCTAACCATATATACGTGTACATATGTATATGTTTATGTTGCTTTCTGATACAATAATGACAATGTTTGTTCCACCTCCTAATTCAAACCCACACCTAATCACTATGCATGTCAAAGATTATAAAAATTTCCTAAGTTTATAATAATTTTCTATAAAGACTCGATCCTAAAACGAGGAAAAACAGAAATTTCTCAATTAGTCAACTTTCTTTGTCTTCAACAACTTCCCCAAAACTATTAATCCATAATTTTTAAGGCGATCTCAATAATGGTGTTATATTTTTTGATCCCCCACAAATCCAAATCATTATTGTTAACTTTATGTTTGAGAAAAGTAAAGACCAAGGAAAGCTTTATCTTGTGTAGCCAATAACATCTACAATCAATGTTCTTTTGTGTATTTGCTCTAACTTCACTTCTTTTTGGTGGTGTGGTTTGATGGGTGAAACTTGCTTTTTTTGCAAGTCAAGAAATCTGCAGAAAGAATATGTAACCAAGATATTTACAGCTCGTCAATTTCTTGTCCAAATAGCTAGCTATAACAATCATGACCAATTTGAGAAATATTTGTGTGTGCATGACACAATAGGGGAGTCCCTTTTTTTTTGGTATTTATTTTATTTTTTTCCCATCTATTTCCTTTCTTTGATCTACAATGTCAATCAAGTACAATGTTATTTCTTATCATGTAATCTCATTATAAAAAAACACAGGAAATTAGGAATCTTTAACAATAACAATAACAATAATAATTGTGTAAGCATTTTTTGAGGATAGTCCATATTTTTTTTTCCGATCTAATAGAAGGTTGAATCAGATTTAGAATTTAAGTATTATTATGTTTATTATAAAGGATGCAGTTCAATAAATGATCTTTTGAACTTGTCTGCTGAATGAGTAGGTACTTTTCTTCTGGGTCCTTCTGAATCTCCAAATATTTGGATGACATGTAAATTGGGTTTTCTTAATTATTTAATTCCCCTTATTACAATTTACAGGCATACACGTGCATAAATATATGTATTAGGAACCTTCAGATTCAATCAATATTTCCATTAAAAAAAAAATCAACATTTGTCGGTAGAGACTATGTAACAAATTCTATCGACGGTAAGAACTAAGATGATGGCGTATGCATGGAGAGACAGACTATGTAATAAGTTTTTGGGCGACCGGAGCGTACCCAAACATGCGCTAAGGTAACCACCGGAGTGTGTACTAAGAAAACTATCTGAGGATATGCTCGTATAGGGAAGAAGTCAGAGGGTCAAGAGTTATCATGCATCAATGTCAGATAATGGTCGACAATTAAAGACATTCAATGATAAAGTTTAATTCGTTTGTTAATTATTTATCGAATGTAACACCAAAAAGGTGAAAAGTCTTATTGTATTAAAGAGAGAACAAACTCTCGAATTAATGAGAGGAATTAAACCCCTAATTTCTAATGTACTATAAATTCTCTCGATTTTAAGAGAAAAAGATAAACACATATTTTTAAATACAATTGTCATGTGATTGTTTTTACTTTGTTCTTATTATTAATTTGCTTTGATTATTTACTTGTTCAATTCAAATTATCAGTCTAAAAACATTGGATAAGTGTTGGACGAAATTTTGCTCCAACAACTCATATATGATATATAACACCCAACAAATTTAAATCACCAATTTATTTTTAACGTTTCAATTAGTTTTTAACCGATCACACTATCACACGTTATTAAATAGACCCAAATATTAAAATTTGAAAAAATCAGTTGAAATGCATTTCAACTCTTTTAAATAATGTCGCTTAATGTTGTTGGTTAGATACAGTTTTGGACACTGAAATTTCATTACAAAATAAATAAATAAATAAAAGTCATTTTCAACAACAAATGGTCCACAAAGAGTAGTGGCCACATATGCCTAAAGTTTAGCCACAAGAAATTGACTCATCATGAAATAGCGTGATATATGCATATTCGACCTTGATTTTGCCTTAATATGTCGGACCAAATTTAGAACTAAAAGATAAATGAAATTCTGGACCTCATTATTAGAGGTGGGGTTAGATTTTTTTTTTCCTTTTAAAAAACAAGTGAATTTATACGCTTTAATTATCTAAAAACAAGAATATATAAACTTTAATATATAAACAAGAGGGTTTCGGCCTATAGACCTATTAGCTTATGTAATGTGATTTATAAGTTTATTACTAAAGCTATGGCAAATAGGTTGAATGTTCATTTACAGGAGATCATTTCGTGCCTTTGTCCCAGGGCGGTTGATTATATTAGAGAGATTGTAATATATCTCTCAATTACAATGTCACAAAATTTTGACCTAAAACACAAGAAGGAAGCACTGCAGTGCATTTTTAATGCGCTGCAGTGCCATTCGGAAAAATAGCGCGCGGCAGCGCGCAAAGCAGCGCACGCT